CACAATCGTACGAAGTCAAGTAATAGGTTGGAAAACAATTTTTATTCTTTAAAAATAACAAAGTGCAGAATTGACGAGGTACGAAACGGCTTGGTTTGTGAGGCTTAACGTTCATAGGCGACTTAGACTGTGAGAAACGTTTAAGTGCTGGATCGGTTTCTAACGTTTAACTTGCAGTGGCATTGCACAGAACCTTGGCTTTATCGGAATGCGATCATCGTGGCGGAAATCGGACACGCGTCTTTTGGGTCAGTATCTGGGCACCGTAACCATTTAGCCACCGAGGCAGCCTATCTAAATGAAAGTGGAAGAAAAAAAAAGAACTTGTGTACAGCGGGAATCGAACACGCGCTGTCCGTATCAAGCGTGCACTGCCTTAGCATTTCAGTGTTGGAGTCCCCATTCTCGGTTATTCATGAATGTGCAATAGCTAGGACCAGTGCTGGTCGAATCGACTCAAAGCGATTGCGGTCGATATGAAACATATTTTCACTGCTGGCTACAAATAGTAGATAGAAACCGTATATGAGGCGTATTTCAAGCCATCATGACACTCAAACTTAATGCCTTATCATACACGCAGGTATACTTTCCGACCGAGTTCTCTCCTCTTGCGCTAACCTTCGTGTAGGTCACTCTTTTTTTTTCTTTTTCGTCATAGGCGCAACACATAAATGATAAAATTGGGACTCTGCGCCAGACAGTATGAGAAGAGCAAAGAAGCACCTACAGAACTGTTTCCTATTATTTGTTTTTTAATTCTGCGAAAGGAATGACAAATACGTATGAGATTAACATGGACGAAAGCAAGCAAGAAAAGTGTATCTCTTACCATGACGTAATTACTCTGAAGCAATGACACCGATACCTTTGCTCTTTACTACACCTGTGATGCTATATGCGCGACATTCTTGCAAGCTGACATGCTTGGAAGAGGTTGCGAGGTCTGGTAGCAGTGCTCCAGCAAAATTTGAACACTCAAAATCCTAATCAAAACACGATCAATCGTTAGCTCAGAATTACTGCCGATTCTTTCTTTCTTTCTTTCTTTCTTTCTTTCTTTCTTTCTTTCTTTCTTTCTTTTCTTTTCTTTCTTTCTTTCTTTCTTCCTTTCTTTCTTTTCTTTCTTTCCTTTCGTTCTTTCCTTCTGTCTTTCTTCCTTTCTTTCTTTCTTTTTTCTATCTTTCTTACTTTTTTCTTTGATTTGATGTGATTTAATTTGATTTGCGCATGTTCCTAGGTAATTCCCGTCCAAATCGTGATGAATTTTTGTTTGATCACTGCTGCGACGCCAATAAGCAATAAGCATACAAGCTGGTGTAGGAGCAAATACCACTATCACGCACTGCATCATTCTCTTTGAGTGACGTAGACTAGTGAACATGCGAGAGAGTGGCTATTGTAATCCATCGACTCTTGTTTTCCGTCGGATAGAAAAGTTATTAGAAATGAATGTAACGCATATGTACGCCCTTTTATTCTTTCCTCGTGCTGCCTGAGCTGCTAATTCTTCAAGGTGATTAACCAATTAACCAACAGGCCCAAAATAAGTCATTATTGTCTTCATATTCGTATTCCTCCCGGAGCGTTTGACCACACGACTCCATGTGCGTATGGTTAACACAAGCCACGATAAGGCTTTTAGTGTGTTCTCAGCCATGCTTAAATAGTGAATTAAGAACCCATAAGTAGAACCCGGAAATGAAGGTAAGACTGGCAGTCAGTAATTGCATGTTACTTGCGGTAGACTGAAGCAGGCAGAATAAGCAGTAGCGAAACGCTCAGCAAAAACCATGACGGACCCCGAATTAAAATTAGTCCAATTGTTGTCCCGTACCACACGTTCGTTATGCTTGTATTTTTGAAGAGGGCCGGACGGCCTTGACCGTTCTACATATCATATGACAAGATAACTCATGTTTCTCACAGAGATCGCTCTGTGGATGAGCTCAGGGGTGGTCGCCTAGACGGGCGTGTTACGTTACGTAATGACATGAGAGCCACACCACCACTCACATACATTTAAACGCCTCAAGCTGGAGGACGCCGCAATTGCTCCACTCGGCAAGCTACTTTGCCCAGCACGCTGTAGCCACGAAGGCAGCATTAATGATCATATCTGATTCCTTCTTTAGGCGCAGATGGCAACGCAACTGTGTCTTGTCATGTAGACGGCCTTATTTCTTAATTTACGCTATACATGATGTAATAACAATGTAGTACAGTATATGCAGTGGCTGTCTCCATGACACACACACACAACACACACACACACACACACCACACACACACACACACACACACACACACACACCCCACACACACACACACACACCACCACACACACACACACACACACACACACACACACACAACACACACACACACACACACCAACACACACACACACCACACACACACACACACACACACACACACACACACACACACACACACACACAACACACACACACACACACACACCACACACACACACACACACACACCACACACACACACACACACACACACACACACACACACACACACACACACACACACACACACACACACACACACACACACACACACACACACACACACACACACACACACACACACACACACACACACACACACACACACACACACACACACACACACACACACACACACACACACACACACACACACACACACACACACAACACACACACACACACACCACACACACACACACACACCACACACACACACACAACACAACACACACACACACACACACACACACACACACACACACACACACACACACACACCACACACACCACACACACACACACACACACACACACACACACACACACACACACACACACACACACACACACACACACACAGAGGCAGATAGACACATTACACAGTAACAAATTTGTCTCATATTGTGACCCCAAATCGAAGCCTTCACTACGTTAATACCCACTAGTAAGCAATGTGCAAATAAAGCAAAGGTCCAAAAAATTAATTCTACATTGCACTATGCAAGGCGTCATAGTCGTTGTCATCGTCATCATCATTATCTTGTCTTGAGTCCCCTGCGGGATGAAGGCCTTGAGCAATGATCTCCAGTCTATAGGCTGCCCTACGTAATCTAATTACATTTTGTCCCACCGAATTTCTTATTTTATAACTCCGTCCAACTCTCTGCCATCGTAGACCACAATTTCTCGTTCCTCGATACTCATTCTGTGAGGACTCTAACTGACCATAAATTACTGCACTTTTCATGACGTCTCCTGACCTTGAGCATTTTTTTTACGGCGAAAGCTGCTGTTCTTTTTCTTCACCTTTTCTCATTGCTCATACATAATGCAGGAGATTGGCCGCGTAGTAGGGGAATTTTTTCAGTATCTTCTTTAGTATACTACTAATATAAGCTATAAATAACTAATATACCAAAATGAAGTGCTTTATATTATTGATGAGGTATTCGAAAGATGAATAATTTAGCTAGATATTCTTTCAGACTGATTTACAAATTTCGCAATAGCGAAGAAAACATCCGTGTGACAGTAGCCCGCAGTAGAGACGCCGAAAGAAAGAACACCTCATTCTGATATTTTTCCAGACCCAGATTTCGAAGAGGTAGTATTATGAATCTTCTCCTCAATGACGTGAGCTGGCAACAAGATAGAAAGGAATGACTAATGTTTTTCTCCTCATACAGAAGACACACAGAAAGGAAATCGCTCAACCTGCTGTATGCTGTTACGAGATCACAACAAGGGTCACATGTGCCGTAGTTGCCTACCTACACCGCCAGTGTCCGTAACCACTATCGCGGACACAGTGGGTTTCGAACCCGGGTCCTTCACGTGCCAGCCCAGTATTCTACCACACAGCCACGCCGGTGCCTGAAAACTCGTTGCAAAGTGGCCTGAGACAGGCTTGCTGTCGGGAAACGAATCTCATTAATATGAGTAATAAAGTGCTTTAAAAGAGCAAAGGAAAAACCAGGCGTCTGACATTTATTTTTTTATTCGTCGGGTCAGAGCTGCCGATGTCAGCTTTTTCTTAAGGCCTACGCGTTAAAAATACCCATGTCTGTTCTCGTCGTTCTTGGGTAGATAATAACTGTCCATCACCTGTGCCACATACCTGCCCGCAGTTATGTGCCACACGTCTGACGGAAATGGTCTGACAACGTACGCGACGGAATTGTGACGTTATTCATATTATGACCAGCGAGACATATTCGTCAAACCATCTTAACCCCCGATACTAATTTTGGTTTACCCTTGGGGTGATCACGAAAACACTCAGACGTAGGCTGTTTTACAGACAGACAGACAGACAGACAGACAGACAGACAGACAGACAGACAGACAGACAGACAGACAGACAGACAGACAGACAGACAGACAGACAGACAGACAGACAGACGACGGACGGACGGACGGACGGATAGATAGATAGATAGATAGATACATAGCTAGATAGATAGATAGATAGATAGATAGATAGATAGATAGATAGATAGATAGATAGATAGATAGATAGATAGATAGATAGATAGATAGATAGATAGATAGATGATTATTGTGCCTGCAGAATGCAAAGAAATGCTTCGCATTTCTTATTTTAGCAGTTTTTGACTTCACAAATAGAAGCTGAAAACGCAGCATTGGGAAGCGCATGAGACATTATTCGTCACAGTCTTACCGGTAGCGCAGACACAGTGAACTTATCCTTGGGGCTCATAGTTTGCACAGCGAAAAATATACCAGATAGTGTTGCCACTTTAGCAGAATAAAGTTTTCATCTAGATTTAATGAAATGCATTGCTTCCTTTGTAATAAAAAAAAAACTATCTTTCTATTTGAACCTTCTTTTTAAGGTGACGAAAAACCACAATTCAGGATGATTCGGCTGCATGTGATATCAAAGAAAAAAAAGAGCACTTTTTATTATAGTTGACTGACATGTGGTATTCAACTTACGTGCTTTAAGCTCCACAGCAACGGGTATCAAAAGGCGTAGACGTTGTGCACATTCGCGTTCTCTTGCTTTCTGGGTCGGCGAGCTGTGTGTCTCAGTCTGAGGCGTAGACACTGCGATATATTTAAAAAGAAAGGAGTAGTCACTTTCAACGATTTCTCAACTTTTTTTGCGGCTCCAGTCAACTGTTGGAGTACCATTTAAAAATTACACGTTTACCCATTATGAGAAGCACTTGTGCAATAGCTGGCAAAAAAAAAAAAAATGTGACATAGAATGCCAATGTCACTATATGTATAGTAGAAAACCTGATTTATAGGGTTGCATACTGAGCCGCCATTCTAGATTGTAAAGAAAGTGCGAGAGCCATGCTTTCCAGTATATATAGGAATGTTGAGTGGGTGTTAGCCAGTCATAGCATCGAATTGCTCCAGGATCGGTATTTAGAATTGACATAGCATTGGCACAGTAGTCTGAACGAACAGTTGGTCTTAATTTAAAATACTCTAGAAATAAATCATTAATATTTTTTTCCATCTTGGTATGTTGTCCCCCGAAAAATATGACGTTTCGGCAAAGATGACGGTGGGTCCAAGCGGACATTAAAGCAACCATGGGTAGTTAGTCCCTCTTAACCACCATAAGAAAAAAAAATACCGCTTAAATAACTAAGGGTCTGCTCATGACGACCTTAAACTGTGCGAGTACCCATCGCACATTGCGTGTCTAGCATAAAGTGCCATCTCTGACAGCTTTACTCTAATAACAATTGCATTTAAAAAGAATTGAGAGGAAACGATTGCGAACGTACTTTAGCGGGTGCTAAAGCAACAGTCTGTATTTAAGGGACAGCGTTAGCACAAGATTAGTACATGGCCTCACTGATCCTCACTTGCTTGTAACACTATAGCCTGCACTACATCTTCTCCCGATGGAGTAGAGGCTGTGTCTTCAAAGCAACAAGACCTACGTAAAAAGAAAGAGGGGCGAAGAGAAAGAGGGGAAAGAAAGTAAATAAAAAGACAGGCAGGTGACACATGCACACGCACCCAAATTCATGCGCTGACGCTTTCCCTGAAAACAAGGGCGAACGCCAGCAGGTCGTAAAGCGTATCCTACAGAAAGATGTAATCTAAGTGCCCCAAAAAGCAACACTGGGATAATGTGTAGGTTTTTTTTTTTGAACAATGCAGTTAATCCTTAGGAGACAAACCTCTGCTCGAGCGTCTGCCATCTAATGCGTATGTTACATACTTGGTTATTGCGACCTACTCGCATGCAATACGAGAGGAATTACGCTTTACCCATCTTTAAATCAGTATCCCTATAGTATAAAAAAACAAAGGCACCACTCGCTGGAACATTGGACATTCGTGCACTTCAACTGTTGAACGAGGAATGATACCACTTCGCATATAGGCGATAGACGATCCTGAAGTCGCGGAACGACCTCGGCTCTCCGCAACGTGTTGCGAGTGCCACGTCGCACCACTTCGCATGCGGCCCAAGGTGTTTTTGCAGAAATAGCCCTCTGCCGAATAGCTTGGTGACGTCACCCGACACACTCGCGGGGTTTCTGTCCACGGCGTCTAGGTCGCGTCAGCGAGCTCCGCCAAGGATCTCCGGTGCTTGTTTACAAAGCGGAGCCACAGAACCCCGCCGTGCAATGTACACGAGGGCGCCTGCGCTGGGAAAGGCGCCCGCGAGAGGGATGTGCCGCCATGTGGATCGTGTTGTTTCCCTTAGCGTGGTAAAGCGACTACACTGGCGCCGGCGGCGACCTTTCCGTGCCTGAGTCATGCGACGGCCTGAAGAGCTGCTGAGGAGATGCCGAACAGGAGTTCTGGTAATTTTCAGCTGCCATGGCTCCATACATTAGCGTGTACGCGAAACGCATGCACAAACGCAAATTCGGCGCGTCGGTCGTTTATACGCGCGTATACATAGCAGAACGCTGTTTTTCAACATTATATGCTTTGCTTGCCGTATATGTGCGTTTCGCTGCTGATTCCGTATACATTTCAAAGGTATATATATATATCGTACTGTTGCAAATCGATGGAAGTGTATTAGGACTGCAGGTATACGCGCCAAGCTACAGTGAGAAGCGTCGTAGCCAGTACAAACAAACCATACACGAAAACTCGAGATTTCCGTTTTGATTTCGGAGCACAAGCGATTTTGCTCTCCGCTTCAATCGGAATACACGGCTACCATGGTCGTAACTTTATCCCGCGATATTCTGCTTATAATATAGTAATCTAACGCTGTAGCCACCGATGCCGTTAAGTCGTCACAGGAGGTGATATGCGTGATAAGATAAATTGCGGTGAACACTATAGTGCTCGTAAACATGTGGTCACGCCATCAAACTTCAGCATTTTGAAAGGAACATTTTTCTGGCCTCGTTTGAAGCATTCTCGCTGTCGTTATTTCGCATTACTAAAATGAAAAACTGGTAATTGTTTGCATAAGCGATATACATATGAACTTACAACGCTCATAGTGTCACCACAGCATGTTTGCAAAGTTCTAACCAAACACGGCTGCCTATGCGATATATGGGCTACTGATCAGCTAGGTGGGCATCGGTAATCACCCAGAAGAGGCTACGAAGACCACGCTCTTTTACGCTTTCATCTCAAGAGATAGATGTTGTGAAGAACAATTGATTGATATGTGGGGTTGAACGGCGCAAAACCATTATATGAAAATGAGATGCATATAGTGGAGGGCTCCAGAAATTTCGACCAACTGGGGTTCTTTAACGTGCACGCAAATATGAGCACACGGGCCTACAGCATATTCGCCTCCTTCGAAAATGCAGCCGCCGCAGCTGGGATTCGACCTCGTGACCTGTGGGTAAGCGGTTGAGTACCTTAGCCACTAGACCACCGCGGCGGGGCAATGGTGAAGAACGGAAAGCACCACAGTAAACGGTGCTATTGTCGTCAGCAGTGACGTCACTGGGAGCTCTAAAAGCCATTCAGCTTCTATTTTTGTTTCCACAATGTGCAGTTTTAAAAATATTCATTGCGTCTTATGCGCAACAGTGGATTCTTTTTTCTGTTGCTTGGAGCATAACCTACCGCCCAAGACTTTACTGCACATCAGTCTCAGTGTAAGGTAAACGCCGGTGTGCGTCTCTAGCACGTTACATCTGACATGAGCGGTGAAAAACTTCGAATGAGATACTATTGCGTGCCTCTATATAGCGTGTTTATTGTTCTAAAAGCTAGGTCTCGCTGCTTCGGAACATTTTAAATAGAGAGCAGACGGCCTTTAAAACAAACACAATCTGAAAAAAAAAAAACGTACACGTTATCGATGCCGCTGTCTCTGAACGTTTTATGGTTAAGTGGAGGACAAACGAAACAAAAAACGCCTACTTGTAAACTCAACTTCTGAAGGATTCAGTGCTGCAACTTGTCTTTAGAAGTTGGAAAAACAAAAAGAGGAAAGCAAGATTGCAAATCGATTGTGTTTCTTGGTTTGAAAAGAGTACCGACTGCGGCTTCCAGGCAGTAGTCCCTGGAGTATATTATTGGAAAACTGATGGCGTCGTCAGATCTTTACCGGCCGCGCTGCGAAAAGCAGCTTGCCAGCCCACTACCATTGTGAAATCGAGTGGGGCGAGACAAGAACCAAGTCCTTCGAGGATGTAAGGATTGCCGGAAGCTCATGACTGGATCACTGGGTCTCCACGGCGGATTTCAGTTTGTTGTTTGGAGAGTGGCAGACTCGCATCTTTCGTTGTTTTGAATCGTGCGTAACGTCCAGTGGACTGCGCGGTTACTTTCGTAGTCTGAACTTGCTCCTTGCAGTTCAAATCACCTCGCCAATAAAGCGTCAGAATTTATTTGACGGTGCTGCGAGTTGCAGCAGCGATGTTACAGTTCATGGCGCACTGTCCTGCCATTCCGCAAACATTGCTATAGTCAACCGGCGCGTTTCTCATTGTTCGCGAAGCGTCCAAAGCGGTAATTGGCGGCGAACACGCAAGTTAAGAAGGTCACTGACTGATCGTTCAGAATTTTATTATCTAAGGTTTTACGCGCCAAAACCACGATACGATTACAAGGCACGCCACCGGGAAGGGCTCCAGAACTTTCGACCATCTGGTGGTGTTTCACGTGCACTGACATTGCACAGTGCATGGGCCTCTACCGATTCGCCTTCATTGAAATGCGACCACCGCCACCGGGATCGATCCCGCGACCTTTGAGGGATCGATCCCGATGCCGTAGTCTCATACACGTGCACTCTCTCAAAGAATCAGTAGGACGTATCGCAGCTCAGCGCGCCTTCGCCGAGCACGTCTTCAAGAACAGTCGCCCCTTCGCTGTTGCACTGTGCTCGGTATGCGACGAGATGCTTCTCACACGCGCAGGAACAAAGGTGGCGCTGTCACCATGTGTCACGGAGGTTCAGCGAGCGCGTGGGGAGACAAAGAGAGGGCTGAGAATTCGCGCGTAGGCCGATGCAGAGGCGCAAGCAGAGGCACTTGGGAGAGCGTTGCGTGCCCATTCGTCACCCATTGCAATGACGCGCGTCTGCGTTCAAGTTCACGCACTCCCACCAAGTTCGTTCGTCCGGTGGTCCGCGGCACAGCTGGGTACACGCGCCCGTTGCCGCGGCGTCCGCTTTGCCGCCAGTCGCGTGACTGCTTCGCGGAACGCGCTCGACTTTTACGATGTCGCGTCTCGAATGCCAAGGGCGACGGCCCACTCTCTCTTTTCTCCGAGCCTAATTTCTCCTGCCACGGCCCGCGGGCATTCCTGGCAAGCCGCACACAAGACTCCCTCCAACCATGCCGCCGCCATTCATGCCTTCACTCCTCGTCGGGTGCTTCTTTCGTGCGCGCCGCGGGCTCAACCACCACGGCGCACCGAACGGGTTTCTCGGCGCTTCGGCCACCCGAGTCTTTCCTGCTGCTTATGCCGAGTGCGTCCATTCGAGGAGGCCACTTCGAATGCACACCGCGCATAGGAAAATAAACGGCGGCTCTGCCGCGCAGTTTACGCACGACGTGAAACGGCGGAAGTGAAACTCGCTATCGAGGTCTACGAGCGAGAAAGAACGGCGGATAAACATGCTTTCGGTTCGGCTTGTA